TTTGTCAACATACCGGTCCCTGGCTTCTCTATTTAATGTGTCCCGGTAAATTTCAGATCCTTTTCGGGATTTTAACCTCTTTTTTCTATCTATTCTATATATGACATACGATAATATGCCACCCAAGATGGCGGACCGGAAGCTGGCCAGTGACGTCACTGAAAACCCCCTATTAGTAAGCAATTGGGGCCTGTTGCCACAGCTTAATGTATCCACCATGCACAGGCTTTTTCTTCTGCAGGGATTTTTGTGGGGGGGGAAAAACAGAGACTCAAGAGTCTCTGTTTTTTTTCAAGAGGGCCAGTTTCATAGAATAAAAAATGACTCTAAATATGCTAAAATAAAAGTATATCCATGCACTAAAATAACCCAGTCAAAGTCGAATCCTCAATATTATTGGATGGGTATTTGCCTTTTTTATTAACATATGCTTTCTGGTAATATGTGAATTAACTTAAACCTACTTAAAATGTAAAAAATGAAAATTTGAAAAGGCAGAACCGCAAAGGCAAACACACGCTAAAATAAAAATCCTGCAAACCATTTTGTGTTTGGTTGTGTAACATTTTCTTTTCACTTCAGAATTATGCACTACTTTGTGAGGGTCTGTCTTGTAGAAAAAAATTGTCCTTTGTTTCTATCACCTCATAAGAAATAAAATTCCAAGTCTTTATTTAGTTCTTAATTTTATAAAACACCAAAAAAAAAAAAATATGCATGTCTTCCCTTCATTAAAACATAGTAAATATAAGATTAACAGCAGAAGGTAGAGTATAAATGTTCTTTAAAACAGGTGGAGAAGGTATGAGCAAGAAGGAAAAGTCTTAAAAGATTGAGAGATGACTTTCTAGGATCATTCTAACCATGCTTACCTGAAGAGGAGCAGGACTGCCTGAGGGAACGTCTGGAAATTGTTGTTCCTGTTGATCTGCGTGTGGTCCTGCAGTGCTATCTTACCAAACATCTGCATAGTAGGTTAGGAGGGGGAATAGAGAGGTAGTCACAGCATTCAGAAAATGATGTCAGCAGTGTCAAGAAGCCGTCAGTTTAAGGCCAGCTGTCTCTAGTAAATCAAATCAAACCGCAACCCCACATCAAATGGGAAAGAAACAGCACCACAGCTTGTACAAGCAAAGGAAAGACAAAGAGATTGACAACAAACAAAAAAGAAACGGTGGCCAAACAAGTGGAGAATGCTGATTTGACCAGTTCCAGGATAGACGAAACATGAAGGCCTGCTACAGGAGAGAAAAGGAAACAGAAGACCTTAAGATTCAGGGTAACAAGGCAACAAAAGCAACATCTTACCTGCATGCCGATGACAGCGTATATGAAGAAGAGCATCACTATTAGCAGAGCTACATAGGGCAGAGCCTGAAAAGAGGAGATAACCATCAGTGCCAAGTGCTTATAGTCACAAATACTGCAGAACATTCACTTTCAGATCCCCTTTCTCACTTATAGTACAGATAATAGATGCATAACAGGTTTATTACAATTAGCTGGTTCTTTAGGAAATAAAAGTGAATGCATCTGAAGTAGCACAGCACCAAAAACAAGCAAGTAGAAATCATCTGACTACAGTTTAAAACCTCAACAAGATCTAGTCTCTAAATTTTAAGCAGCAGACCAGCTCTAACAGACAGACTGCGTAGCTGGGCTGTTGGCTAAAATAGCTCCTGTGCATTGGTTAGTCAGGCCAAGTCATGCTTAAAATTATTATTTTAAGGGTAATTGTTGTGTATTGAGCCAGAAAATCTTTCGAAATTATTTAAAGCATAAAGAATTATCAGCTGATTAGTAACCGCAACACATTTTGGACAAACTGAAGAAAAATAGTAAAATTCTAATCTGAATTTACAGATTTACAGTGTAATGAAGGAATATGTAGACACTCATCTAGAAAGTGCAGAATTCTCTTTAACAACTCAATATACATTTAGTGGAGGCAGTGGCCAGATAATGGCAGCAACTACATGTGCTGTTTGCGATCCAAATGTTTCTCTGCACACATTTTTTTTAACTGTTTTTTGGTGATTCAAAATTTCTTTAGACAATTTCATATTAATTAAATCCTTGATTACATCCAAATATTTCCCCCTATTCTACATGACTGCAGTCTAGTCACAAACCTTTAATATTAAGAAAAGTGACAACAAGCAGTGACAAATAAAAAGCTCGGCAGAAAATCAGCCGTCTGAATGCGCTCCGAATTGTATATTTTTGAAGCACAGTTTTTGAGACGGTTTTTCAATTTTATCTAATGATGATTTAGAGCTAGATAGGTGTGCAACAGAGAAACCATTATCTTTATTCCTCTAAAAACCATCAATATGTTAATTCTTAATAAGCTGTTTTAACCAATATACATTAATTTTGACTATCACTATCCTAAACTACCAATCTGAAGACAAATAAAAGAAACAATTCTAAAACTCATAATATATGCACTTTTAATTTTAAGTTTTAAATTAAAGATCTACACTATATACTTGCATGAAATTAAACAAGAAATGGCCCAATTTACCAAGCGCAAGAGAGAGAACAGATTCTTTTTTGTCTTTTATCTACAACTCAATCAAATGATTTAGATTTTTTTGGTGCTTTGTCGAACTTATCTACTGCTTATCTCATCTACAGGGAAATGATGAGCTTTATGCGTTAGTGATAGTAGGATGTATAACTTGAGAAGGAAGATAAAAGATGGAGAAGGAAAGGAGAGGTGGAAAGGCAGAAAAAAAGTATTTAGTATTTCCCTAACTATCCTGCTAGAGTCCGAACCTCTTCTCCATTTCCTTTCTCATCCCTTCAACATGAATTTCCTCAAAGAGAGCCTGAGGAGGGATGACGTAAGGAAAGGAGACTTTATCAGGTTTGGATAATGTAGTTTTAAATCCTTAAAGACCAAAGTCTTTTAAGGAAGTGCAACTTGAGTAAGATTAGCACCGCATAAACACAACCCCGTATTTTCTCTAGCATGTTGTGTCCGTTTCTCCCCTCACTTGGAACGATTTGATGAAGGTCCACAGCAGGGTCCGAATCCCTTCCCCGCGAGATAGCAGCTTGACCAGCCTCATCACGCGGAACAGCCGGAAGAAGGTGATGGAGATCCTGGCGTTCTCTTCAGAATTCTGAAGTCCCTTTTGGTGGGGTTTGGTGTTTTTTTTTAGAGAAAAAAAAAAACACAGGACGCATGGGAACACATGCAAATTGATAAGGAAGGGAAGCACGCGCAGACACACACATAACCCACACAAACACATAGAAATGGGGAAAGACGGACATGCGTATGTAGACAGAGACGTGAGAACCACACAGGTCGTTTGTATGCATATTACAATGAGTACGAAGACGCGGATGTGAATATGCATAACACACACACACACACATACACACATAGTTAATAAATGGAAATCAGCGTCCTGAGGAAATCCCATCAAAATCAAACAAGAAAAGAGATCTGGGAGAGAATCGGGCAGTCATGCTTTTTATGCGACTTCATGGAAAAATCATTTGGCAGCAGTAAATAAATTTATCCAGCAGCTTCCTATATAAAAATGACTCGGGCTCTTCTTCTGCACAACCTTAATTTCAAGCCACTATACTTCTTTTTGTTCAAAATGATGTAATTAAAACAGGTAAGAATTGCCTTCGCCTCAGAGATTTACAGGTACATCTTGATAAAATAGGATGTCAGTGAAAAGTTTATTTTTTGCAGTAAAATCCATACTGTTTACCTACAATTATATATTTCAAAAGTTTATTTGGAGGTGGGCCTTTGGAGGAGTGGCGACCTAGTGGTTAGGGCATAGACCTTGGAATCCTGAGGTTCTATGTTCGAGCCCCACTCCCACAGACTGCCACTCTGGGTCCCTGCGCATGACCTTTAACCTCACACTGCTCCTTGTCCGCCGTCCAATGGCAGGCCAATGCTTCCCAAGGGGATGGGTTAAATGCAGAGGTACATTTCTCCAATGTGATCAAAGTTCAATTAGTTTATTTTATTCTATTATTTTTATTTTAGGAAAAACTGTACCGCTGAATATGAAATCGTTATAAGCTACTCTGCAGCAGGTGTTCAATGTCATGATGTTATGGTTGGCTTAAAGGCTACCTTCAACTTGCCTGCATGGTGGGGTGTTATGTGTCTAAACTTCATCTTGACAAAGCCCCATAGTATGTCTTGGTTTGCTGATCAATACAGAAATAAAATAATGCAATGATCATTAAAGCTAAATTCTGTACTTCCATCAATGCGGCCTGATACATAAATTCAGCCGGACAATAAAGCCAGCATCTCCATAAAGCTCGTCAACAGAGTTCCTTAGATCTGTGAGATACAGGACTCCAGACACAATCTGCGCTTTATAAATATTTCCCTAACTCCTGAATGGATTTTGCTTTACACTTAAAGCTGTCAATACCCATGCAGTTTATGTACTAATCTCTAGAAACACCACTTCCTTTCACTTACCTTTCCATGATATGCTTGATCAGTTTTGCATCACTGACCTTTTAAGTATATACAAGCCTCCTTTCTTAAAATGGCATGACTGACAGTTTTTGATAATATTCCAATTTATCAAGATGCACATGTACATACAAAATGAAATTTAAGTCCCTTTTATCAAAATATATTAGAACTGGAGTCGTTTTACTGTACAAAAACATTCCCCTGGTTGGCATCTTAAGGAAATGTGGCTTTCTTTTAATTGTTTAAGAAAGTTTGAGGAATGATAAATTGAAGGGTATCCTCATTTCTGACATCTTAAAGCCCCTGGAGTTGCCCACACGAACTAACTAGTGTTTAAATATTTAGACATCTGGCTGAGTGCTGTTCTAATACAGATTTATTTATTTGTATGTCTCCGCTTTCTATGTTAAAAAAAAGGAAAATAAAAATGTAGCATATGGATTTCATCATAAGCAGTAACAGCTGCACACAGGACATGACTAAGAGCTTAATAATAAATCAAGTTAAGACAACGGTAAAAATAATAGCAAAGAACTAAAATACCTGAATGTGATCCATGAAATACAGCAGACGGTTTGAAACCTAATATTTTTTGCCATTTATATTTTTCCAAGAAGCCATTAATTCTTTATGTTAATCCCCCAGAGAACACACAGTGTGTTCTTTTAAAGAACCGTTCATTCTCTATATATCCCATTGCAGTTTGGGACAACAGATATTATACCTTTAAACAAAGTGCTGCATTAAATGTTTTATTTTATTTTTTTTTGGTAGTACACAGACTCATTTTCTTATGAATGTATCTGCTACTTAACTCAGTTATTAACTAGTTTTCAGAACTGAAATTAGTTGTCCCACACTCCACTGACGGATATAAGGAAAATGATGCATCGCTCTGAGGAGTGGAAATCACAGTTCAGCACTGCAAGTAATAACACAGCTGGACCACAGTGGGCGCCACTGCACCATTAGAAGAGTTGGGCAAGTGGGCAGGAGAGGCACAGAGAGAGAAAGTGTGACAGAGAGAAAAGGAGTTTGATTAAGGAGAGGTTGAAGATGAAAAGTAGTTTGAAACAAAAAGACAAATTTAGAGGCAGAAACATTGACAGATACGTTGCCTGGCAAAGGAGAACTGTTCCTCACTGCTTCATGTTACAGACATAACCTTTAATGCTGCTTTTTGCCAATTTGTTTGATAGACCAATAAAAGTATTGCATATTTGTGAAGTGGAAGAAAAGGTTATTTTTACTTAGAGCAAAAGAACAAAAGGTGCGGCATACGAATAAAATATATATCCTCTTCCCACCACTTTATTCAATGCCGATCAGATCCATTTTTCACTGCAGCCGATTGATTTTTAAGACAAAGGTTTTTGCTGAATATTTAAAAAAAACTGTAAGCATGATTATCAGGTTTTACCTTTGATTACAGGATTTAGTTGTTAGCTTATGGGTATTTTTTGATGGGTTCATTTAACTAGGGTTCTCGAGAGCTCCTATCCTATTTTTAGTTGCGGTGTTGCTCCTACACACATAAGCAATTGGCTAAATTACCTCAGAAGCATTTAATCAAGTTCTGCAGGGGCCCAGTAATGAGCCCTTAGTTAAATTTAGGTGTGTTAGAGCAGGGGTGTATCATAAAGTTGTAGCAAAGTGGATTCTGGAAACTGGATTTGGAGACTCCTTATCTAAACCATTCCATTTTTGCTGTGGTTGTTCAGGTACAAATCTGACTGGAAGGTGAATGAGTCTACAGTCTATTTTAGCCTTTCATAAGTTTCTTCAACTTTGACAAGCTCTATTGTATTTTGCCCTTAGATCAAAAAGTTCAAACTTGTTCAAGTTTGATTTTAACATCTCCTTCCTGTCCCTTACATGACTTTAGGGAAACTTCCTTAGTTTTCTTTTTCAGCCTTTCTTCTTGCCATCCTTCTACACAAGCCAGATTTGTGCGGCTGTTTGTCTCATCAACAACTTCACCAACCTGAGTTGTTTTTTATGCAGGTCCTTATGTGTTACCATGGTAAGTAAGTAAGTAAGTAAACTTTATTTGTATAGCACTTTTCACAGACAAAGTCACAAAGTGCTTCACATGATAACATAAAAACAACACAAGTAAAAAACAGATAAAATGCAATAAAAGCTATAATAAATAAGGGAATAAAACAACAGGCTATGTGATGGTGCTTGTTGGAGGCTTGTACCTTGCAGTGTTTTAAGCTGGAGACATTGTTTTCCAATCTAATCCTTTTTTAAACCTCTTAAGAACTATTTCTGTGTTCTCTAACATTCTGTGTTTACCAGTTGGATCACTTTTATTTGCAGCACTGTTTATGTAGGTATTATTAGAGTAAAGCAGGCGGAATACATCTAATGGTTTCATTAGTAAATGATGTTGTAAACAGGACTTTTTCTTCCTCTTCACTTTTACTTTTTGTTGGTCTATAAGAAAGTAAAATAAGTTTAAGTTTGTGTTTATAAAGTGACAGAATGAATCCTTTGTAAGGCACTGTAGATAGATAAATGTTGAGATGGCTGGCCAGTGGAGAAGAGTAAAAGATGGCGTGATTGCGTGATCATGATGACTTGAACCAACGTGAAAGCACAAAAGATAACCACAATAAGAAACAATACTATATTTAGAAAACACACAAGACAATTATACTCTGCCTGCAAAATGGAGTGTCCCACAAACTCACACATTCATATATACATGTATATTTTCACAATATAACAAGAGAAACATGACTATAACTCTGAGCATGCTGCAGAGGACCATAGCTTGAGCAACAGTAGTGAGATGAAATGCTGAATGGGAAGCCAAATGCTTACGAGTATCAGAGAGAGGGACAGAAAAAGAGAAAGAGGATGGAGAGATGGTGGAGGAGGTAGGGAGGCGGACGAGGTTACCGTTGGGGCGTACCATTGGCCTTACCACATGGGGGTGAGAGGAGGAAGAAGAGGAAGAGGAGGAGGAGGAGGAGGACGAGGACGAGGACGAGTCAGCTGGCTTTAAGGAAAGGCAACAAAGATCAGCACCAGAGTTGCGCCTGCATGCCTCTGTGTGCGTGTTTGTGAAACAAAATGAGGGTTCAGACTTTGCTCAACCCTCACATAGTGGTGACAAATGTCATCTGAACCTAAAGGGAGACTTGTGTGTAATCTAAATGTATTAGCAGATGGTCTACAATATCTCCAAAGGCAACATAAAGCCCTCTTATCAAAGTAGTGGATGACTAAAATATGTAGAACAGGAACACAGCGGTCCTTTGCTTTTAAGGCCCAAATAGATGTTTAAAAAACAGACCTATCTGTGTCCTCATTGGCTGATTTCATGGAAACAGATGACTCTGCATATATGTTGT